CAGAATATCCATTCTAATATAATCTATATCTAATAGAATAGAATATTTATTATTATTCACTCCTGTTGCAGTATAATATTGTATATATATATATATTGCTATATATATATATATATTTATATATATATATATATTTATATATATATATCATACATTATCTATATATATAATATTATTATATATATATATATTGTATTATATTGTATGATTGTATGTGTTCTCAGATATATTCTATGTGTTATATGTTGTATGACGTCCTCTGATTGTCTAATATTCTTACGCAGCCTATTGATTGCCGTGGTAGTATATATCGATCACTGTTTTGCCTGACCCGCGCACACATGATGTTTGTATGCGTTTGTTTAGAAGTAAAACCTCAATTATATGTACTTGTCTTGAGCCCGAAAATGTAATTTATTTCTCAAACAGAAACATTGCTAAGTAATAATTATCATGTGTAGATTAGATTAGTGCTGCGCGCAGGACTTTACACGTGCTCCGATCGTACGCGCATCTACTTTACGCCTTTACCGTTTACGTAGCCGCCCCGCTAAATGCAAGACACCTGCCCCAGCGACAAACGACCGAAGCGTTAACGGACAAAACGACTTTTCAGAAAAAATTAGAAAACTATTGCTTTCCTTATGAGCCATTGCACACTGACGCGACGACACGGCGACAACCTCGACGACAAAAATATTAGAAACGTTCTATTTTCCAGCGACTTTCGCCGGCGCACACTTTACAAATGGCCATCCAGCCGTTTCATCGGCACGTGACATCGCCATTAGCGTCATAAAATTATAACCAATGCTAGCCAGGAAGTACACTGCCGTCCCAGCGTAGAACTCGCACCGCCTTGTCAGAAACAGTGCGCCGCGCGAACCCATCTTAACCAAAACGCTGATGCGCTACGGGTCAGTCAGCCATCAGACGTTCGTATAATATGCTGCGTATATATTACTTTATTATATTATCGTTATACATAGAGCGTTTTTACAGCAATTTATTTAAAAGCAGCAGCAGGAGTTTTTTGGCACTGGCACTGTGGTGAGGGCTGGGTGAACTTTGTCGTTACGGTCGGTCGTTGTCGCTGCAGTGTGGCTGCGCCAGTCGCCGCGACTTTGTCGTTTGTCGTTACGGTCGGTCGTTGTCGCTGCAGTGTGGCTGCGCCAGTCGCCGCGACTTTGTCGTTTGTCGTTACGGTCGGTCGCTGTCGCTGCAGTGTGTCTTGGCCTTAAAGGCGTAAAATCGCCACCACACCATAGACGGTATTTGGGGTTCTTGTATATATAAGATGGCTGAGTCGGTGTACAGTTAGTGTTGTGTGTGGGACAGGTTATCTGTTTGTACTTGTGTATTGTGTGCAGTGCATGCGTGGCACGGTAAAAATACACGCGCCGAGTGTCCTGGTCGAATGGGAATTCTTGACGATTCCCGCGCTGGCAAACTTTTATTGTGGTGGAATTTAATCGGGGCGGAGGTAATTTAAACGGTGCACAACGATTGAAACAGGGGGGAGTTTCCCCAAACGGGGCGCGCGCGCCCCGTTTGCGCAACGTAGGGAGAACCCTGCAAGTATATGCACAGTGCCTGAAATGGGGGCCAGCCGAATTTTTTTTGGGGGCGACTAAACTTTTTTAGTCACTGGCCCAAATGCATTGTTGGAGGCCCAAATTTTATACAGCAGCGCATCTGAGCGAGTGCGCATAGAGCGAGTGCGCGCAATCTGAGCGGGCTCAGCTAGGCACCCTGATTCTCACCGGTCTCACTGCTAGCATAATATATCCATTACTATGCCACACTAGCGTTATACAGCGGGCATAGCATACAAGCGTATTATATAAGCAAGCGTGGCCGATCAGGTTGGGCTCAGGTCAGCATTACATGTACATAAATGTGATGTTATACATTGTATCAAGCTACCCAGACAACGCATCTAGACATGTACGTTTGCAGTGTAGCGGGAGAGTCGAAGACTACCAGTCTACCCCTGCTTGGTCTGATTGCATCCTACCGTGGACTTCGGTTTAGGATTATGATTAGTTAGTAAACAAAGAACAACTCAAACATATCAGTAAATTTGTTTATGTGTTGAAATATTGGCAGTCGCCCAAACTTTTGTTTGGGGGCGAGTGACTACTTGACTTGTGCAATTTTCGGTCGCCCGAGCTAGACATTGGTCGCCTGTGGCGAGTGGGCGACCATCCATTTCAGGCACTGATGCAGACTGTTGCTGTATTATGGGGAGTTCAAATATTTAGCCAATATGACAATAATATATATATATATATATTATAGGCAAGTCTAAGCGTGGAGCCAGTGTAATTATAATACACAATTGATTGGGGTTTTATGTATACACACATATATATATATATATATGCGCACGTGCGTACACACATGCGTGCACACACGCACGCACACACACACACACACACATTATGCATGCCGCGCACATGCATATATTATATATTATTCGTCGAGCGTACACCATGCGCACACGCACACACACGTGCGCACGCGAGCATACATACGCACGCGTGCGCGCACACACACACACACACACACCACACACACACACCACGCACACAGTGACACACACACAACGCACACACACCACACACACACACACACACACACACACACACACACACACACACACACACACACACACACGTGTGAAATGATGCTGCTCTTAGCAAGACGAGCAGTAACACGCAGAAGCTAATCGTTGCTAGCACAACAATTGAAATGGAACAATCGAAATAATGGAAAAAACGTATATGTATATATATGTAGGCAAGCCTAAGCACAATGCACTATGGGATGGGGGGTACCGGACCACGAAGTCCAGCAAAAATTTCCCTCATCCTATATGTATTGTGCTCCACTCTCGCGGGCCTTCGGCCCACTCAGAGCTCTGCTATAAATAAGCCTTATCGCGAATCGCGATTTAACAAGATATCTTGTGCAGGGATGTCCACACCAAATGTCTACAAGAAACAGTGCTTAACCATGATGATAGGAACACACAATGGTACCTTTCACTGTGATGAAGTCGTAGCATGCTGTCTTTTGAGACAACTAGAAGAGTACAGAAGTGCAGAGATTGTGAGGTATGTCATCGTTGTTTGCCCTCACCCGACCCAGGCTGAAAAGTTTGGGTAGGTAGGTAGGTTTTGAGGGGGGTCTTTTTACAAATTCAGCATGGTGTCTACATGCTCAGGTGTTGCTTGTGTGTAGATACCTTTTATGTTGAATGTTTGTTTTGCTTGGTACATATAATGTATTGCCTACAGATTTATATAATGTACACTGATACAATTTGTAAAAAAAAAGAAGGGAAATCAATAACATTTTTTGAGTCGGCCCCTTTTTGGCGGGTCGGTCGGGTGAGGGAAAACAAACAATATTTTTATTATGGCCTAACCAAATATCTACACCTCTATTACACCCAGCTAGAACTTTGGTTGACATCATCATGAACAAAAAAATGGATGTGTCCTGTAAATGTGTGTGCTGTTTTAACTACTGCAGTTGCTATAGAAGGCTGTGGATTTTTCTGTCATTAGAACAAGGGACCAAAATCTTCTGGAAAAATGCGACATAATCGTGGATGTAGGTGGGACATTTGACGCCTCAAAGAAGCGATTTGACCATCATCAAAGGTAGCTGGAGTATATGTGTGTTACTGTCCCCATTAATGGAGTTCCCATTATAGCTTTCCACAAATCTTCCAGTAAAACACTGCAAGCTTTTTAATTGAGTTTACTTATTTATTTGTATATGTTTGTAGCATAAATATACAGCCATTTAAGTGAAAATAATGCTTAAATCTATAGTATAGTTATCTTTTAACACTGAACACAGATCAATGAATACTGCATAACTCTATACTGAGTGTGTGACTGCTTTTATTATTAGGTCGTTCTCTCACACAAGGAATAGTCTTTGTCCAGAGAAGAAGTGGGTAACAAAGCTGAGCAGTGCAGGACTCATCTATCACTACTTTGGGGCGAGGGTAATTGCTAGTTTGATAGGGTATGTAGAGTCAGTATACTTTGTAAATTTCTTGTAAAACTTAACTGGGATGCCAGATTTATTCAGATGTGTACATGCAATATGTATGTATGAATATGTGTTGATTCAGCAAGGTGTTTCAAATACTATATACTATATGTATCTATCTATATTTATTTATTTATACACACGCACACACAAGCACACACACACGCACACACGCACTTAAGTATACATATATATTGCGATTGATTTTTCATTGTGCCAGAGAAATTCTGTTATTCTTAGACTAGTGATAATAAGCCTTATGCCACATTTGCAGTAAGTAGACACAGTATTATGATTGAAATATTTAAGTTTTTACATAGAAGTGAATGACATTCCTTGATGAGGCAGTTGGCTGATATAATATATATGTCCAAGAAGCAGCATTTGCTGCCCAAAATTTGCTGAGGCAACCTGCCTCAGTGTTCCAAATGCAGGGTACACACTGCACACTATATCATATAGTATTGTAAAAGTCTGTTCCCCTATATTCACATTTTAACTATAATCACTGCCATAATCATGTTTCTCGCTCATGATTATGATTCTCATCAGTCTGTTTTCATAATTACATAAAATAACTGGACCAGGTTGTTTGTTTTTATCATTGACGTATTGATAATGCTCCAGGATAATTGTCCTGGAAAAGTCCCCCTTTTGAAAAAATTTTTCTTGGGAAGGATTATCAGCATTTTTAAAAGGATTTGCTGTTTCAGGGCTCACGAAGATGATGACATTACTGGTATCATTCATGACAAGATATACGAGAACTTTATTGAAGAGATCGATGCAATAGACAATGGCATAAACCAGTCGGATGGCATAAAGAGGTGAAGATTGCCAGTATAATATGGAGTCAGGGAAACAGTGCATGTGTGTGTCGGTGTGTCTGTGTGCGGGTGCGTTAGTGCGTGCGTGCGTACGTGCGTGAGTGTGTGTCTAACAAAAATAGACAGAGGGAGTAGGAGAAGAAAAAAAACAGAGAGGGATAGAGAGCGAGGTGATAAAGGGGAATAAGAAAAAAGGGGAAATGGTGGGAGGGAGTTAAGGGGAAGTAGGCTGGGAGTGAGATAGGAAGAGAAGGGTTCGGAGGGAGAGAGAGAGGCTTGTGATTTAAATTATGCATTCTGTGACTTGCATCAATAGTCTTTTCTTAACGTTCCAGAGTACAACGTCTTTACTGTAAGTGTTTAATGGGCTGATGCTATTAATGAGACCAGATAATCTTTCAGGTATGCCATCAGAAGCACACTTAGCTCCAGAGTTGGATATCTTAATCCCATGTGGAATGAAACAAATCGAGATGAGCAGGTACAAACATAGATTCATGCAGTAGAATAGCAAAATACCGTTTGAAACAAAGCACAAAATTTACCTATGCCATTACTGTAACTACATTGAGACCCACTGAAGTAGATACCATATTTAGTCTGGGGGTTTAAATGTTTTTGTGCCATTTTGTAATTTTCATACTCAATTTTATTCCAATTGTTACCATATAGTATGCGTGTAATGTCGATTAATTCTGAAATTCTTTTAAATTTATACTTTATTAGGCAGGCTTTGATAAAGCTATGGAGCTTGTGAGGGAAGAGTTGCTAGACCGTGTACTGTATTACAAAGATGTGTGGTGGCCAGCTAGGGAACTAGTAGAAGAGGCATTGCGTAATAGAATGGAGGTTAGTTTGTACTTCTGCTTGTACACGCACTGCAAATGCATGTGTACGTAACATCCTACGTAATGTATAGTGTTCTTGAAATTTCTAAAATCACAAGATAATTCCAGTTATAAAATTTGATGCTTTCTTGCTTTTGATAAGGGTCATTCCATCGGGTTGCGGAACAAAGTGTGACATAATAGTGAAATTTTGGAAATGTTCAAAAAGTAAATCTATCCATGTTTTCGAATAAGAAAACTATTATACGTTAAAATTTAGAAACAACTATGTTGTAAATGTACAGGAAATTTGTCAGTGTACCATATGCAATGGCCTGTCATAGAACTGTCATGGCGCTCCGACGTAACAAAATTTCGACTGACACCACTGGTGTATTTTTGCACAAACACCGAACAATTTTGAAAGAAACTGGATTTTCAAAAAATTATTTTCATACAATCAAACTTACAACTACACAAACAACAAACTAAATACGATATGTTACATAAAAAAGGGCACACTACCCCATAGTGAGCGCCGTTAGGCCGTTAGGCGCGAAGCACATGGCGGGGGGTCTGGGGGGCCTCCCCCAGGAAATTTCAAAATTTCAAGGGTCCCGGGGCATAAAAATGAGCACCATTTGAGCACACATTTAGTCAAGCAACAATAGCTAAAAACCATATGGAATTTTATTTCTGCTTCATTTTGCCTGCGCTTTGCATACCAGCAATTAATGCAGAATGATTCAAGCACTTCCATTCTTTTTCAGATATCAAAGCTAGGATTGTTACCATGTAAAATTTTGATTTCCTTCAAGTCCTGTCAATTAATCAGGAGAACAAGAAAACAAATAACGAATATAGCCAAATTCCATCAAATTGTTTTCTGTATTTTTTTGTATTTTTTGTAAATTTTGAAGGGCACTTTGAAATCTAGACCGTATTTCCCAATACGGCAAATACGGTCTGAATCCGCCCCTGTTAGGGTTAGGGTTAGGGTTAGGATTAGGGTTAGGGTTCGGGTTCGGGTTAGGGAGTAGGCGTAGGCAACTCCCTAGACTCGTTAGTGGAGTAGGCGAGGTACGGTCCGGCATATTAGATAGTGCCAGGGTACGTTCCGGTATACCGGACCGTACCCAGGGTACGTTCCGGCAGTACCCCGGTGGACATAGACCCTCTCAGCATAAGTTATATATAAGTTAATGATACGCTATACATACGTTGGACATACGTTGTGTTACTTTGTGTATACGTTCAATTCGTTGTGTATGCGTTATGTATACGACCAATCCACAAAAATCCAGATTTTTCAGGTGACTGGGTCGACGTATGCCAGCGTATGATGGCTTTTCCAAAATAATTCATTCGCTCGGCATACGCCCTTGTGTGACCGGGCCATTACATTGGCATGCGTCTATTGACATGAGCTACTACTGGAATGAGTCTATCTCCATATACAGTGACTCTACTACATTGACAGGTGGCATCGTGTAGGTCGTGACCGCCGTGTGCACTTTGCTCCCACGTGCACGTGGTCGCAGACATCGTATAAATATATGCTCATATATTCCCTTCAGTAGCCTAGTATATATAGTATATCCCTAACCATAGTTACGTCAATGTCAGGGTTCGACACTAACGCTAGTCCGTTAGTCCGAGACTAGTAAAAAATCAGAAGGACTAGTAGATTCCCATAGCAGCTCTGCACACTCTAGGCATGCTAGACCCTAGGGCAGTGCAAACATTGTTAAACAATGAGGTCACGAACCCACCTAGTCTACCAAGTGATCCCTTGACAGTAGCTGTTGAACAAACAGTCTGATTGTAGAAATGACACAACTAATCACTTATACACTCTCATAGCGAGGTATTTACATAGCAAGCACATCGCATGCGTGTGTTACTTGAAGCAGTTCAAAAGAGGTGATGAAAGTGCACACGCACGCACACGCACGCACGTGTACGTGCACACGCACGCACGTACGCACACACGTGTACGTGCACACGCACCTACGCACGTGCACACGCACCCACGCACGCGCGCATGTGTACGTGCACACGCACCCACGTGTACGTGCCCGCGTACGCACGCACACACGTGTACGTGCCCACGTACGTACTCACGTGTACATGCACACGCACGCACGCACGTGTACATGCACACGCACGCACACACGGACGTGTACGTGCACACGCACGCACGTGTACGTGCACACGCACGCACGTGTACGTGCACACGCACGCACGTGCACACGCACACGCACACGCACACGTGTACGTGCGCACGCACACACACACACACACGTGTACGTGCACACGCACGCACACACACACACGTGTACGTGCCTATGCACGCACGTGTACGTGTACACGCACGCATGCGTGTACGTGCCCACGCACGCACGCCAGCACGTGTACGTGCACACGCACGCCAGCACGTGTACGTGCACTCGCACGCACACACGTGTACGTGTACACGCACGCACACAGGTGTACGTGCACACGCACGCACGCACGCACGCACGCACACACGTGTACGTGCCTATGCACGCACGTACGCACGCACCCACGTGTACGTGCACACGCACCCGCGCACGTGTACGTGCACACGCACCCGCGCACGTGTACGTGCCCACGCACGCACGCACGTGTACGTGCACACGCACGCACGCACGCACGCACGCACGCACGAACGCATGTGTACGTGCACACGCAAGCATACGTGTACGTGTACGTGCAGATCAGCTTTCTTCCCAGATGTCTTTGCAACTCTGATTTCAATTCATTTACGGTTTTCCCTTCGTAACTAGACGCCATTGTTTAGCAGTGAAACCGGACAGTGCACGCGCGCCATCTATCCAGCGATTAGTAAATGGCGAACCCCATTAGAAATGCACATGCTATTGGAAAAAACGGCAGGTCCTACACCGATTACGTCAAGCTGTGCCAGCTTGACAAGGCCAAGGGGTTAGATGTCGGGAACTTACCTCACCGACAAGGCCTGCCAGAGGTTCATTACGGCGTAGCCGATACTAGGCGCCGGGAACAGTTTGTAGCTATAAATGAGGCCAAATTCCTTGCTGTGTTAAGTGACGGATCCACAGATTCCTCATCAAAGGAGGCCGACATTTTATTTTCGAATTAAAATTTTATTTAATTTAAATTTTAATCTTATGATCCATATCAAAGTTACATGTGTTTTATACAATTGAATGTCTTTTATAAAACCTTTCTGGGGGACACCTCTTGTACCCTGGGAGAGACCCCCTGTACCCCCTAGCAGAAGGGGGCTCCACCCCCTACCCCACCTACCTCCTGGCAAATCACAATACTCGTCGCTCTGTGCCTAGTAAGAGTTCTTCGGTAGGACTAGTAGAATCTTGGAAGGACTAGTACATTTCTTCTTTTACTAGTCCCGTGGACTAATGAACTAAAATGGTTAGTGTCTAACCCTGAATGTGGTTGTTTTTTATCATCACAGCCGATGTGTTTGGGATTTTCAGATGGTGAGTTTTGTTCATGGAGAGGTTTGGGATATTTCTCGAATGTAAAACCATGAGGAAAATTTGGAAATATGCATTCTTAATATGAAACGAAATACTTATTTTTATAGTTTCCATATGTCACACATTTTGTTACAAATACAACTCCCGACACCATCATTTTTCGGCCTTTTTTAACAGTGAAATTTTGTCCAATGCAGTTAAGTCTGGTCTTGTTTTGAAGCTTAGGTTTGCCTCTATGAGACAAGCTACAAGTTAATGAATCAAAGCAAAGCAACTTCAAATGTGATATAGTGCTGCATATGCACTGTTCCCCAACCTGACGGAATGACCCATAACATCTAGTATATGGGCACAGCTATGAAATGTAATGTGTTCCTCACCCTGCCCCCTGTAGGCCATGTTGATGGGAGAAAAATTCTATAACAGCCAACCCAACCCAATCATCATGGTATTAGGATTACATACTTTTTGCCACAATGGAACAGAATATAAGGCACAGGAAATTCAATGTTTAATAGGCCTACATTAACCACGATGTATTATGTGTAACTAACAGTACTGATTTATCATTGACAACATAAACTGTAACAGCAAGTGCTTGATTGGCATCATTGGGCTGAAATTGCAAGACTAGATCCACAACCTTTTCTCTTGTGTATTCTCTTGCCCCATTACAGCAGTAGCTCATTTGCTCCTCCTGTGTGACACACAGTGTGTGACCTCTTTTATAGCAGAAACATGGTAATGTCCTGCTCACCACAGCTGTTTTTGCTGCCCCACCACACTGACGCATAGGTAAAAAGTTAGATTTTATCCTCACTACCACTGTGTGGGTGTTGTTGGTGATGGATCAAGTTCATCTATAGTCTATGAATTGAGTGGGGGAAAACTGGGTGGTGGGGCATGATGCCACGACGTTTGCTTGCGTCTGGTTGTCGCCAGTGTTTGTGGGAAACAGGTTATCCGCAGGGGAGAGGTGATATAATTGGGAGAACTAGACGCCCTCTGGGTAGAGCATCTTGACATCCTTGAGTGGGAAACCCTTGTCAAGTACCTAACATCAAGTATGCTGTGTATATGAACGGGCTGTGGGAGTAGCACCAGGGTCGTTTCAAAGCAGGTGAGATCCCATCACTCCCAGCTTACCTGTCCCAACTACCTATTAATTACCCTCCTACCTGCAATCATCACAGTTGTCCTCAACCTATGTCTCTAGAATTTCCACATTATATATCTTTTCAAACGTTGGAAAGGATCACCAGGTGAGGGTGTGGGATACTTATTTGCTGTGGTCCCTGTGCAGCCGTGTTGCACACATGGATTTCTAGTTGTGCCCTATGGATATCGATTATAAATGCTATGCCGGAAGTGGTGATGGCCTGACTTGCCTAGGCGAAATATTCTTTGAGGGCAGAGACTATAGGTCCTTATTTGGTGCAGGCGTTGCCTTATGCCTTCCTTTGTCCTCGACGAATGAAACAGGTAGACTCTAGCGGTGAGATCGTCTGCTTCGCACGAGGAGGAGTACCATGGAAGGAACACTTGTTTGCACTTGAGGCCAAGCTTGGGGTAGATACTGGTGTTAAGTATGTACTCTATAAAGATGATTCCGGCCGGTGGAGAAATCAGTGTGTACCCCTCAACAACTACACATTTGAAAACAGGTAGGTAGAGGTGGGACCAGTCTAGCAGGTAGATGAGCTTGCACCGCGTCTGCCCAACAGAGTGAGAAGTGGATTAGCGGCAATGATTATAGCATTAATATGAATGCTATAAGTACATATGTAGGCATTTTTTGAGACATAGCACAGGTTAGAAGACCCTGTTGAGACTAACACAAGTCAAAACTTGTTGTTCATTGTTAACATGGCTTAAACCTTTGTTGCCAAAAGTCACAATAAATATTTAGTTTGGAGTTAAACTACTTACCATAGAGAAGTCGATAAAACATACATAGGATTAATTACACATATGGTTTTTTCCACGTTTGATCAGCTGCAAGTTTAATAAAAATAAATCACTATCGTTTTAACTTGAGTAACATGGGTGCGAGTAGTTTAGTATGTGTGTGCACCTGCATGCATGCCAGTGAGCATTTATTTATATACTATAAGCAAGACGTTTGTGCGTGCGTGTGTGTATAGTAAATCTATTTACTATAACCAAGGTGTTTCCGCGTCTGCACGTGCGTGCACTGGTGATAACTGATTACGGTATTGTAATCATCTTCACAGGCTGTCGCTGCCCGAGGCATGGAGGGGTGTACGTGATGAAGAGCTCAGTCGGGTGAGTGGCATCCCTGGCTGCATGTTCGTACACGCGACAGGCTTCTGCGGGGGCAATAGCACGTACGAGGGTGCCCTTGCCATGGTGAGGAAGTCGCTACAGATGCAGAGTGATAAAGTTGCCGAGACGTCAATGCAGAAGTAGCAGGCACAACTCCGGCAACGTGAATGTTTTGTAATCGCATCTACGTATATACGTACGCGTGGCATGCACAGCAACGACTTCGCGGCTCCCTCCATTCAATTCGAGCACACCATAAAAGAACATTTCTAAGTAAATATGAGAGAATAAGTAGCTAACATTGGATGATTAGATATACTGAGTAGAAAAAAAGGTGATAAATACCTCTTAATGTAAAATGGGATAGAAAATCATGATCTCAAAACATTCAAGACAGGACAGTCGAAATAAACAGGGTGGTCCACATGCAATGGCTGGTATAGCAATAATTTTCTTGATATTCTAGTTTACTATCCACGTATTACTGACTGCTATTTCTATTCATGTCCATTTATGAAACAATGTCATGGACATGTGTTGTGTATAAAGTATGAATGTATACTGTGTATCAAACTGCAAAATTAACATTCTTTGATTGGTAGTTATTAGCTGCGTTCAGACGACTCCGTATTTATTAAATTCGGTATTTGCGAGATACCGAATCTGAGACAAATTCGCGACTTACTCCACCTGAGCGTTCACACGCTGTTTCGCGGCTTCAGAAATGCCGTATTTAGTTACTTGCGAGCTGCGAGTTGAAAAAAAAACAATGCGTCCAAGCGAACACTGCGAATTAAACAATCAATGCACAGCAACTCTGTGTAAACTCTGGGGCCGGTTTCACGAAGCGTGATTAACTTTAATTATGATTAAATTACTAATCATAATTAACCTCCTGTAATTATGATTAGTTAATCATACTTAAAGGAATAATAGGTCCATTGATTATGCAATGTTGACGAATGCTAGAGTAACTGGCACCTTGTGTAGTTAATAAGTACATTACCTTATAGCCAAATGCGTATTAGTTTGTCCAATATCACTGCTGGTTACTAAGAAATGTCTAATTGAAATCCACAGTCCAAAAATCAGTTATTTACAGTTTCAAACCGCTGCCGGCGAAGCGGGTGTGATACAGATTTATAGTGCACCGGACATTTTCGCACGCATGCTCGGCCGTACGCAATGCTATCATCAGTGATTTCGTAAACATGGACGCGCGTGATAAGGAACTTTTTGTCAGGGCTGTCCACGTGCGTCCGTGATTAGTACGTGTGTTTTACTCTATTTCCATGTTTAGTCCGTGGCCGTGGTTACACCGCTGACACTTCCGTTTCATCTGGCGTCCAAAACATACGGGCCACACAAATGTTTACGTCATCGCTGGACTCCTGGATGACATTTACGGCACGTAAATGATACGTTGATACATATCGACAACCAATTTCAAGTCTTGTTTGTAATGTAACCAGCAATGATATTGGACAAACTAATATGCGTTTGGCTATAAAGTAATGTACTTATTAACTACACAAGGTGCCAGTTACTCTAGCATTCGTCAACATTGCATAATCAATGGACCTATTATTCCTTTAAAAATCTGTTTCACGAAGTGATTTAAGTACATATTTAACTAATCACATAATTAGCCGACTTAAACATGAATTACACTGTATTCAAAATGGCGGAAACGCCAAAGGTATCTGCAAATTCGGTACATGAAAAGGAATTAATTTGCAATTAAAAATGACTAAATTAGTACAGCTAATCTTAGATAATTTAAATTTCCTTAGGAAAAAATTGAAGTAAAATTTCCAATTGTAAAATCTGCAGCGTACTTAATATACTAGTACTACCTACATACTACTACTAGCTAGTACTAGCAACTAATTATGATTAGTGGATTTAATCATGCTCCCGAGTAGAATTAAATATTGTGATCAACTTAATTATGATTAAAGTTAATTACGCTTCGTGAAACAGTTACTTCAATTTAAGTACGGCTATAAGCTACTGACTTTTGTAGCGAGATTTGTATAGTTATAATCGGTTGTCCTGTACTTTAATTGCTTGGTGTGAATAATGTTAACACTTACTGAATTGTCAGATAATATTATTCATAAAAATCATTGCCATTAAGTCTTCTTGGTCGGTGAAAATGAGTGTGAACAGCTGAACCCATTATTTTTTGGCTTCAACTTTTCATATAAAAAACCCTGAGAAATCCCACTTTCACAATATGCATGGTCTGTGATTAGAAATATAATTCATACATTTTATGCTTGTTCAAAACTTCAATGTCAATAAAGAAAATGTTCATTACTAAAAAATCATGTTTTATTCAAGATTATGTCTAATAATATTTGAGTTCTCCACAAAGACCATCACACACGTTTTCTTTGTTAAACCTCCCATAAGAGATCTAGGCTATACATTTCTATAGAAGTAAAAAATAATACTAATATCATATGGAGTAGTGCATATCTGATGCTAAAAACTGTGTTTTGGACTTACATGAAATGGGGAAAAATATGTTTTAAAAATATTCCATGCTCTTGAGATCCAATATTCAAATCACATTCTAATTATTACAATATACTGCCCCATCTAGTGCAAATATGCACTAATAGAGCTCCTTTGTTTGTATGTGATCAACACTAGATACCTAGCTATAATCATAATCCAGGAAAAGACATGGTCACTGCAGTCATTCCTTCATTCCATTTAATTTTGTTTGATTAAGCATATTAACCTGCCTACCCTCCCAACATCAACACCAAAAACGATTATTTCCCAATCAGTGACAGTAATTGATGAACATTACATTTTCTCTCTAATATATATTTAGTCATGGTAATTATCTTTCCCTTATTTCCTGCTTCCCATTTCTCTATTAAAGCTCACATTCCCTTCTCAATGACTCACCACTATTATCTTATTAAATTAGTCTGCTAATTGTGTCAGATCTTCAAGCTTGCTACTTGAGCTTACAAATGTCACTAATAATTTAGTGGCGTGTTTATGAGTATTTCCTACATGTTACTGATATTCCACTATTTTCAGTCTAAATATGGTGGCGCATGTTCCACTTTGCTGCATGACACTCATAATCCAACTTACTCTTCAATTCATGGTGGTGAACTCCCTTTTTCCCTGCTTGATATGGACATTCCAGTTTTGTTGTATTGTCTTGAGGATGGTCACTGGTGCCCTAATATGTTCGCCGCGAGTTACTTATATTCCAATATTCTCTTCAAGTAGTTATTAAGGAATAGTCCGTGTGGATCCAGGCTACTGCGAATGTTGCAGAACTGTTCAAAATGCGGATACATCTTGCGCAGATCACTTGCTGTTTCTCTGTGAGCCTAAAAGCAGTATAACCATATTAGTTAAGGATTTTTAACCATTGTCACAGTGGCAGACTTGCACAAAGCAATGCATTTATAAAAGAGATATTCTAAAAAACAAGATGGTGATAGACTGTACTATGTTTGTCTGCATCGAAGTCATCTATTAGCTAATGCATCGTGCACGAATCAGTACTCCCGGGTGTCCCATCCATGGAATATGAGAATATGCAATCGCCACTACATAGAAAGTACTTGGTTATTCGTGCTTTACTTGCAGGTTTTCACAAAAACCTTGTCATATGCAAGCCTGCGAGGAAATGGTTCGCTTTGTTCTTGGATCAATGGTAAAACTAGCAGCTATCACCACTGCAAGATTACCTTTGCCCAGTGGGGCCTTCCTCCGGCTCTCTTCATAATGGACTCGTACTTGTCCCAATACTCCTGGTGTGGTGTATCGCGGCCATACGGACTAGCAATGAAAATAATCCAAAATGTGATAATACAGGAGCAGAGGATAAGCTGTTGAGGAATTTGACAATTGCACGAAGTACAGTCGAGGCTCGATCGCTATGGGACCCATCATATATATATATGTTATATCATTTTTATTTTTATTTTTCATATATATCATTTAGAACTAAAATAATAGGATGCAGAACTCTTGATAGTTAGTATAGTTTGTTATTTTTATTAATTATATAAATGAATAAAACAAAATCACAATATGTAAATGTATGATGTCAGCCATTGCCCAGCACCTGAACCTCCAACTGGGGTATGCAGCTCAGTGTACGTTTTTACCTCACATCAAAAATTTCCTATAAATGACACGGCACTTACCGAAACATGATGATGTTGATGTAACAACTATCGATTTCAGAGCATGGGCTCAACAAAAGATCGTCTGCCTTCACGAAGCGCACCTCAATGGGGAAGTGTACCTGCAGCCTGTGTTCCTGTGCCAATATCCATTCTTGTAACTCCAGTAAAACCAGCACGGCCTGACTCCTGCAGAATGCAACACCTGGTGTGATTAGAACAGGCTTGCAGCCAACGCTAATCTGTTTTACACGAACGGCACATTTTGGCCTTTTATACCATCACCAGTGTAAATGAAACAAATCTATTATGAATTGAGAAACGTTGCATGACAACATGCTTGCTAATCAAGTATAAATGTACTCTATTCTGTTCTTACTAGACATCTTACATTGCAATAGAATATCACCAACAAAGGATATATGTGACTTTGACTGTAAGTCTGTAATAATTTTATGGTATTGCATTAAGCAGCATTCTTTGCTCTCTAAAACAAGACCAACTAGTACTGCTTGTCACTACGATACTCGTAGGCTGAGATATTGGCTCGTAAACCTCGCCTCCCACAGGCCTCACGGCACCTCGCATCTACATTATTCCGAAACCTTTGTGCGCTTAACGATTTTGGCTATCGTTTTCCTTTGCCGCTTGGAGCACTGATAATTGAATGATGTCACATGCCCAAATTTGGCACTCTTACTACACCATAGTAACTGAGCTGCGTTGTAGAGAATTAATTTATAAAACATTGCCGGCTCCATCATTACGGGCATTAGCCGTGCTAGGAAAGATAATGGGAGATAATTAAGGGCCTAGGTGACGCCCCCGAAAGCCACTGATGATAACCGAAACGCCGTTCATTCATAAAGTCATCGCGGAAAAAACTGAACTCTCACGAAGCGACTTTCCTAAAGCGTTAAGCGCGCAAAGGTTCGGGATTATGCGGCATTGAGGCGTCATGAGGCCAGTGTGGGAGGCATGATTACGATCCAATATCTCAACCTAGGAGTATCGTAGAGACAAGCGGTTGGTCTTGTTTTAGAGAACAAAGAATGTTGCTTAAGGCCCATTCACACCAGAGCTATGCTCATCATGATCGCCCCACGCTCCAAAAAATTGCCCGAGCGTGGTGAGCGTGGTTGAGAGCATGGCCAATTGGGCCCCAGCCGGGCCCAGCACCGATACTACGATCTAATTACGTCGATACTACGATCTAAGTGCGTCTTTACCCCGATCTCATTGCGCTCAACAAGCTTTTACCACGCTCAACACCACGCCCGCATCACGCTTGCACTGCGCTCACTGCATCTTTATTGCGACCAATCAGATCGCATTGCGTTCTGAACAACGCACTGCGCCTAAGCAACGCTCACCGCGCCTCAACTGCGCGCCTGTCACGCTCCTAGTACGACTTAATCATGCTCTAGGCAGGCGCCGACTGCGCTGGCAACGACCATGTAAATACCGCGCCGCGTTCTAGACATCATCATTCGTTCTGCCGTGCTGTTCACATCAAGATTATTTTCTACTGATTTTATACCCATAATAGTATAATAGTATGCTACAACTATGCCGCCAAAAGACTTCTATTTCTCCTCCTCATCCTCCTCAGCATGATGAGGGCATGGCAATCAAGTAATTCGAGTTGTCCTTCTACAAGAAACATGGCATGGAGTAGTGTTGCCTCATCCATAGTGGACACTGGTGGGGTGGCCAGGGTATAGCACCCCAATTTATACCCCAAGTTCGCAGGACGTGATCTGAGCGTAACTAACACGTAATGTGAACCCCACAACGGCGTGGTCTGAGCGTGTTGGGCGTAGTACAATCGTAGTACAAACGGGTCGAGCTTGCTAGAGATGCACCATGGTCATAGCGAGAGCGTGGTCAGGTCGCAGAGACATCTCCATGGACGTAGTAACAGCGTGATGAAAACGTATTGACATCGTGCTGAGTAAGGGGTGACAATTTTCACGCACCCGATCCGCTTGCGATACGATCATTAAGTTCGTACTACGCTCGAGTTACGTGGGTACTACGCCTTCCACGTCTCTAATACGCCCGCACTGTGCTGTCTTTCAGCCATGCTCGCACCACGATTGTTTTGAACATGTTCAAAGTTTGGCCACGCTCTCCACGCTCATGGTGACTGCACCGCGCTCAATCGCGATCACAGTACGTTCATACTGCGTTCTACACGTTTCCACCACGCTCTTAGAGCGTAGTACGAGTGTAGTGAGATCGGGGCCCTGGTGTGAATGGGGTATTAACGAAATACCATGAAGTTATTCTATACTCGCAGACAAAGTAGAATAATATTGCCGTGAAGTAGCACTATTTTCCCGTTTTCCCGTTGTACACTCTAGGTATTATTAGCTCTTGATTTAATTGAGGTATGAAAGCTCAGTGTACTAGCATTAAAAATAATAAGAATAATTGATTCTGAGATTAGTCAGAGTACCTTGGGATTGACCACTCGTTCACATACTGCTTGAAAAGACAGTTGAAGTTGAAGACCTTGTAGCTAGTGTCTACCATCTCTCCACCATGCCTCCACAAAATATTGTACATAAAGCGTGCAATATATGGCACCATAGATGTGAAGTATGTGCTGGAAGTAGATCAGGTAAATGGATCATTTTTAATTACTCAACTCAAGAAGTCAAAGAAAATGCATTTTAATGTTAGAAGATGCAATTGCTGCAATGATAACAATACCTTATCCACAGCATGAACTCCAACATGTGGTAGCCAACCAAAGTTTCCCAGAACCAACTTGAATGCACCGCAATTTTCTGTGCAAAATATATAGGCTGGATTTAATGCTTCACCTGGTAACCCGGTAGCACCATAAAACAGTGTTTTTATCAGCTGTGTAAAGATTTAAGAGAATATTAAGCACAATTCATAACAAGATCACCGAAATATCTATTGATTTGCTAGTTTCGTAAAGCTCCTCATATAATGTCAACATACTGAAGCATACCGAAAACAGGCATAAAATTGCATGAACATATTCTAGTTATTTATTTTACAGGTCAACACCTTGTTAGTGTGTTTGTGTGGGTGGATGTATCCACGCGTGCATGCATGAATCTTATACATGTCTATAAAAAATATAAATGTGCTAGCCAACATCTCTTACTTTATCAGTCCTGTTTGCATGCGTAGCAATGACATGTCCGGTGTATGGAATCCACATGAAGCGAAAGTGCTCAGAAGACCTGACATGAACCTCCAAATTCTCAAGAACCTGGCAGTAAGACAACGCAGCACAATATTACCACTGGTAGAAATCAGAATATCACAGTGCTGTCACAACACGTGTGTGTTCTGTCGCTGTCATACAGCAAGAGCTCGATCAATACACAGTATATCAGAATTAACTGTTAAAAATATATAATTAAAATAATAATCAATAAAGTTAATCCATTTTACTTGCATAGTTTGAACACTTAACTATTTCCTAAATAATTAGCATCTGTCAGCATACAGTACATGACTATCTAAACATCACTACGACATGCATCAACTGTGGTACTAATTTTTATACCCTTAATAAATTGAAATATTTTGAGCAGAAATGAAGACTCATTTCATGTGCCTCACTGCTCATTACCTTGGCAGTACATGAGCAACTAACAGCATTTCCATTATTCACCGACAACAAATTTGCAAATAGTTATCATTCTTGTAAGCACGATTACCATCACATCACTATAGACTGTTGACTGTCACCACCGCTGCCGCTTACGACACCACTCGTAGCACTATAGCACAACCTCGCGATACATACATCGTCCATTGTGGTAGTGAACGACGTTTTGCAGAGTTTGAAAGCCTTCTCGCACTGCAGTGTTACAGTGAGAATGATGCCCAGCGCACCGAGGCTGACTGCGGCAGCTCGGAACATGTCCTCGTCCTTTTCCCTCGACAGCGTCATCACCTCACCACTCGCAGTCAGCAGCTCCAGCTTCACAACCTGGCAAACAGATCACAGCTAAGTCCCGCTACCTAAATCCTAGAACCCCTGTACATAAGACACATCACCATCATATACATCATATATACATAATATATATCACATCAAGAGCGTATTAAGTATGAGAGCATACAATGGTGAAATGCAACAACCATGTTGTAGTTTCAGTGGAATTAGTAAACTTTGCCTGTTTTATTTTGACAATTCCTTGCAGTATTATTATTCAGCAGTCCTACCTCTTAAACCAATCGCTTGTCCATACGATGTCCTTACGCTGAGATATTAGGCGGTACAATCTATAGTGTTTTGGTGAAAATCGAACTCGAGTTGGCAGCTAGCTGTAACCCTCTCGATACATTTAATCCAAATTATACTTGTGAACGCTGTATAACTCAAGGCCACGCTTTTAACGTTTTGTACGGAGTACGTACGATACGTGTTCGAAACTGGGTTTTGAGGTACGTGTGAACGCGCTACAGCACACATCACCGAGTTCAAAACTCCCACTAGACCACTAGCCAGGGGCCAGTACATATTTAATTTGCTACCTAAGTGTAAATTCTAGAGGCCATAATACTAGATCTGGATCTGGATAATATGGTGAATGATGGGTGTACAGAAGCAATGTTTGACGTTTATATGCCTGTGCTAACTGAAAAAGTCTTGGCTAGTGAATTTGAAGTATAGCCAGTAAAGTTATTAGGTAGATAACTTGCCGTTCTAGTTATAAAAAACATGCTTGCATACAAACCTTTAACCCCTGCAGTGACCACAACTTCGGATCAATATGAGAGCAACGGTACAAGACAACACCAAGGGAAAGTATATATTACCAATAATGTGGATGGACTTTGCCATACTAAATGCTTACGTAAGATGCTAGAACTCCATACTGAGCTCCTGACCCATGGGTTCCAGTTGCCATGGCTCCTGCCAACGTGATATCAGATATAGCGCCAAGTCTGGAACAAGTAAGAAATAATCAGGAATGTATCAATTTTCTTACACTGCGATGACGTTGCATATCTTATGGTTATCCAGTGTTAGGTCTATTACTCCAATCCAATTCAAGACATGTGTAATTATTTTGGCCTACGGATTTGACAACCATGTAATCAGGGTGGTCTACAACCTAAAATTCAAACATGTAAAACTGGGAACTTTAGAGGAGTACTTTAGATATTATGTGAAACTATGTGCGCAAAGCGCACATCACGAGCGCGAAGTCACTTGCGGCCCGGGTCCAGGAGGTCCTGGAAGCTCAGGGGTTTTAGATGCTCTCTGGTGTAATCTGAGCCTTATTTTGGAGCATTTTTGCACAAAATTTATTACCTATATTACAAAATAATTTGGGTTGAGTCAAGAGTCATGAGTGATGAGTCATTTTTCATTGTTCGATTTGTATACTAGTGTTAATGTAACCAGTAAAATGTTATAAACCAATGTGCAAAAAATGCAAATAAACATACTATAAGGTGAAACTATATTTCGCTATATTTTATTCAGATTGAACACCGTTACTGAGTAGAAAATGAAATCTCGTAATAAAAGCTTTAAATTCCCAGTTTCCTTTTCCTAATTGCTGCCCAGGCATCTGCTGCCTCATGGAAGGGGAAGTCCTGAGCTGATGGGCCTTCCACAGACACCATCATAAGGGCATTTAGCGTGTTCTGATTCAGTCTTATTAGAAGTCTAGTTAGAAGGAATCTGATGAAATAGGCTGGTTATTGTGAGCTGTTTTTTATTCATAGCAGATTGCGAAGTGCTATTATATGAGGCTCAGGACAAGTCTATGTCGGACAAGTTATTCGTTTGGCTAGCTGCCCGATTGGACAACTAAAAAATTTCTAGTTGTGTAATATTCCTAACATCCTTTGAGCCAGGGATTTCTCAAATTATATTTTCAAAGGCCTCCGAAAAAAGCGGCCCGCGAGGCAGGCATGTGCGCAGGCACGCATACACAGGCACGCGCGCATGAATCAGAGCAAGCAGCTCAGAAGACGTAGATGCACTGTATGATTCGACTGCCCGACAAGTGGGAGCCCATACACAGAGTAAAACAGTGTAATAGACTGTAATAGTGTATGCTACAAGCGCGCGCTGTGACTACGCGTACGTCGTCCCATTCGACAGTGCAGTACAGTTGCATTTTGCTTTGTTTGTGCTGTCTCTTGCTTTGAACCTGTCGCCCTGGAATCCAAACCTGTCGGCCCAACACTCAAACCTGTCAGCCTTACATGTTAAAACCCCTCGTGACCCATACATCTACCTACTCTAATTTCACAAGCTCCAATATATCATGTTAAACAAACTAAAAGGTGCTTCAATTTATCAACAGTTACAAGGAACTTCATTCATCATAACAAACAAAGATGATAACAGCACAAAATTTACTCACACACTGATAGCCATGCCATTCTCCTCTAAAATCCTATTCAACTTTGTCAGCATGACTCCTCCTTCAACTGTTATTTGACATTTTTCTGCACATACCTAATCAGGAAAACAAGCCAGTAAATGGTGTTCACACAAATACTAGATCAAATTGGATCTGCAATTTTCTAGATCATAGTGGAAAAAGTTGCACTAACACTAACTGCACATTAAATCACCTGCTTGAGCATGGTGATGGCATTAATAAACAAAAAATTGCAAGTCCATACACAAACATACATACAGCCACCATCTGTTTTTCTGCTGTTGTTTCACTACAATAACTAGACTATTACAAATAGTAATAAAGGTAATTATTTCTAATCTTTCTTTTAATTCCAATGTTTCTAATAGTAGTGTTTCTCATTAAAAAATCCATAATAAATGTTATAGTTGTATTCTTCTAATGACTGAGTACCAAACGTTCGCAGCAGTCACCAAAGTCTTACATCAATCACGCTATCCATGCGCTGCATATCAATCATGTACCCATCGGTGCAGCAAATGTCTGATGGGGACCGTGCACCACCAACGGCCCTGACCGTCTTGCCTCCTGCCCGCGCCTGCTCTAGAATCTGAAAGCATTTATTCATGTGACTCATGGTATGTCAAATATAGTAGCAGTCAGTATCAAAGATGATAAAATTTCTTCATTAATTCAATTTAAAATGTAATACTAGTTTTACTTCGCAATAAGCGTTTACTTGCCTGTATGACATCCTCCTTTGTCTTTGGAGTAAAGTATAATTCAGGGATGCATTTGTACGTCTGGGCCCAGTTTTCAAATAGGTACCCTTTAATACCCCACTGAAAAATAATAATTAAGACAATGCGATTAAATATTTTGAAACACCATGTTTAAACAGTATGCATAGCAGCTAAACTAGTATAGAGTCTGATTGTATAGTCACATGGCTATGTTATCATCTTAGCTGGGCAGAGTACAATCCCTGTAACAGAACTCCTCTAACAATATATATATATATCAGGAGCGTATAATGACAAAGGAGTAAGACAGCGATTTGGTACTGATTTCACTATATTTTTGTCGTACGAGTTCGATGTGAATAAAAATACAAATGTATACAAACATGAGCTTCTTTTGTTCACTGGTCCTTATTCTATCTTCCGGTAGTATTACAAACCGCGTAGCTTCCTTCGTTTTGACATAATTCGTACTTTTCTAAGACATGGTTTTCACCTTAGTTACCGTATTCTGGCGAGGCCACACTCTAAATTTGCACACACAGCTCTTCAATGAGCCACGGCAGGGATCGCGTCAGGCAGCGCCAGCGGCAACTGTACGCGGGCTAGAGATAACGGTTGCTATGCAATTAATGCAAAACACATGTGCGAAAAGCTACAATCGGCTGGAGCGTCAGTTTACTCATATCCATTCATACACATCATTCCTCCGCGGGTGAAGTAGTTCAGATATTTTACCAGCGCAGCGTTTATTTAAAAAAAAACTGCGGGATTAAACCATAAAAACAAGGCATTCTAACTTATAGTTTAAATGTAAAATAGTTTTAATTTTTAAACCAGCATGGGTGCAACGTAACTTAACTTCTAGGCGAATTTCTGCACTCGACTAGGCTTAGCGGCGAAAAGCCCTACCGTGGCTCATTGAAGAGGCTGTGTGTGCAAATTTAGAGTGTGGCCTCACCAGAATACGGTAACTAAGGTGAAAACCATGTCTTAGAAAAGTACGAATTATGTCAAAACAAAGGAAGCTACGTGGTTTGTAATACTACGGAAGATAGAATAAGGACCAGTGAACAAAAGAAGCTCATGTTTGTATACATTTGTATTTTTATTCACATCGAACTCGTACGACAAAAATGTAGTGAAATCAAGTACCAAATCGCTGTCTTACTCCTTTGTCATTATACGCTCCTGATATATATCTATATCAATATTATATCAAAATATATCTCAATGAGATCCGATCGAATTTCGTCAAAATTCGATCGGAATTTCGACGGAATTGAAACGTGGCCAGATATAGGATCTGTGGGCTAGCTCTGATCTGTGCTTAACTATGACAGAATTAGAACTTATAAATACAGTAATCTAAGCCAACACAAGAGTAACTACTCTTGTTTTGGAATAAATTGTATCTATAGAACTTATTGCGTAAAATGCCAGTTAATGCAATTTTTATAGTGCCATATGTTATTCTACTACTTGTGCAGAAAATGTGGCATAGTTGGAATGTGGAGGTAACATAGTTTTTTGGTGTGTGTATGATGTAGTGCACTACCCACATTTTCAAATCCTACAACTGATCGGATCAGTGATCTTTGATCGAGCTCTTATACCCTGTACAGATTGAAAATTTGATCCTACATCAAACTATAGTGCAGGCCAGCAGCGTGCTAAATTTTTGCGGTGTGTACACTCCAGGGAAAAAATACACGGGCGGCGGGCGATTTCGCCCCGAAATGCCAAAAAAGAGCCCCCGAAAAATACGATATCGGGGGCGACCCCAAAAGCAAAAGTCGCCCTGGAAATCGATTGTCCAGGTCGGTCCCGGCCTTGCCGATCTCGCTCGGCCTCTGCCGCTAGCGGGCAGCCGGTTTCCACGGCGGCGGTAGAATTCCTAGTACGGTGTGGCTGTCAAGTGTTTATCATTAAGCATGCATGTGTGTATTGCATTTCAATCAAGCGCGCCGCGCGCCCCGCGCGTATATATACGTGTGTGCGCCTGTGCGCGTGCTTGCGCGTGTGCCTGCGCGCGTGCGTGCGTGCCGGTGTGCCTGCAGGCGTGCTTGCTGTGTAGCGTGTTGCCTGCGCGCGTAGTACGTGTGCGCTGCGCGCGTGCGTGCCTGCGCGCGCGTGCGTGCGTGCCGTGCGGCGGTGCCGGTGTGCCTGCTGGCGTGCTTGCGTGTGTGCCCTGCGCGCGTGCGTGCGTGGTGCGTGCGTGCTGCGTGCGTGTGTGCGGGTGTGTGCTGCGGGCGTGCCTACGTAGACCCGTAGGACCAACGAACCGCGTAGGATTATAGAACGGTAATCCATGGAAAATCCTAATGAAATTCACACGTATATTTTTCCCTGCCGGCACACTCGTGTGTCATCCCGATTGTAGCTTTTTTGTCAATCCCCGAAAGAGTTTTGCTGCCGCTCTCTTCATAGTCCAGCAATGCCAACCCTCTAAATTTTAGTAGTGATTATTACACCACGCTGAAACAATCGGCCCCCCCCCATACTCAATCAATGCGCCCCTGCCAGCAGGCACGTACGCAGCGTCGATGTGCACAGCCATACACACGTACTCGCGGGCCGCTTTCTCAAACCCCCTGAGCTTCCAGGGCCCTTACGCGGGCCTTGGACCCCAGCCGCAACAGACTTCGCGTACTATAAACAATCGATCCTCCTAGCTCGTACAGGCGGACATTCCACTATTTGGGCTAGCCGTAATAGTTCTGTGTTTAGCTGAACGTGTGATGTATTCACTATTCAAGGTGCATTTGTGGTTGTGACTTGTGAGTTGTGATTATCATGTTAGTCTGTCAGTCTGATGAATAACTGTCTTGAATATTGACTGTTGTGTCTGTGTGTGTCTGTGTGTGTGTGTGTGTGTGTGTGTGTGTGTGTGTGTGTGTGTGTGTGTGTGTGCGTGCGTGCGTGCGTGTGTGCCTGCGTGTGACGTGTGTGTGGTGTGTGCGCGCCCCCACGAGTGTGTATTAGCTACTGTGCTTGTGTGTACATTTGAGGAAACAGCCCTGGAAAAAAGTCGCCCTGGAAAGTGGAAAAAGAGCCCTGAAAATGAAAAAGTAGCCCCCGAAATTTTGGGGTTTGCAAAAAGAGCCCGGAAAGAGAAAAAATTAATTTGTTCACTGGTACACGCTATACCGGGCTAAATACGTTCTAGTGCGGACTATGTTAGCCTGACAAATGAAGGTGGGCCAGGCCTGCTTCAAAGCGTGCCAAGTTATCCCGCATTAAATTGTGTGTACGCAATTCAAGGCTAGGCACGGGCTAAATTTCGATATACGCATGCACATAGCCTCAATTGTTTAGGTCACATAAATGTATAGTAGCGTGTGAAATTGTGTCTGAAATTTTGTTTTTGATCTTCACTTCACTGGTCTAATTCCAGTTTCAGCTTCTCCTGTCCATCCAATCACTTGTTAATTCTTCTTCTTCTGTTATTACAACAATACAGTATAAACCAGAATAATGCCATCAGTGGTGCTGTTGTTTATCTGGCACTGCAGTCTGCTGATCGAGTGACGTAACATAACAAGCTAAACTGAGTAGGTATGCAGTCAACCCGTGGTAACTTAGCCCGGTTGAGCACGGTTGTGTCTGTACGCTGCAATTTTGCATGCGCCTGGGCCCGGGCCTCGCCCAAACTAGTGTGATGTAGGACCAACTTTTGCAGACTGTACGGGCCATCAGTCTAAGAGTCAGTCTTAGTGAGGGCCACATTCAATGTCATCGACCATGTCACTTGATGGAGTGACATATTGCCATTGCCATTTGGGGACTGGGCATCATTTGTCGTCACTGAATTTGTATAAATCCTCTCACACATAATTGCACTCGTATATTTGAACATTAAATGTTAAGCAATTACTTCCTGAACTTTACCTTTCCTTAACCATATAACTATATCTGAAACTGTTGTTAGAGGTTAGACTTTACACGCCTGCGGCAACTGTACTCAGGCTATAGTACTAGAGCTACGCACCGCCTAGCCACATGTTCCCTTCTCGCTTAACACTACGTTGGCGTCCTACGACGTGTAACAGCGTGTCTGGTCGGTTTACGCACCGCCTAGCTCTAGTACTATAGCCCGCGTACAGTAACTGCGGCCCTGCGGCAACTGTAGCCGTAGGCGTAAGCCTACGCGGGCTATAGTCCTAGAGCTACGCACCACCTAGCCACAAGTTCCCATCCCGCTTAACACTACGTGGCGAGAGGCCACCGCCGTGTAACTAGTCGGAGAGCCTGGTCGGTTTACGCACCACCTAGCTCTAGTACTATGGCACGCGAGTTTATCGAACGCGGGCTATAGTCCTAGAGCTACGCACCACCCGGCTGAGGAGGGCCTAAACGTTTTTGCTTTTTTCTATTGTCGTAACGTAATAGTGGTCATAATTTTGAAGGCTTACTTCGGCCATTCTGATTCTGCAACACAAACCACAACAAAACAAGAACGTCTAGTCCGAACTAAACCACAGAACATGTACAGACTATACGTTCTGGAAACAAACCAGAGCAAACCACAGACTAATGCATGCAGCGCCCTCTTCGTACAACTCGGGAATGAGCCAGAGCGAGAGCGCCATCTGTCGTTGAGTTTGCGTGCGAACAGTCGCACGGTCGCACCTGTGGGTCGCACGAGCGCTTCACATTGCGGCTTCACATTATAGTGAGCATGTGATCATATGAGATATGTGAGCATGTTGGAGTGTATTAAGATATAAAAAATGTAATTAATATAATTATTAATAATATCAGGAGTAGGCTAAATTAAACAAAGTGTTTTGTTTTTAATTATTCCTATTAGACTATTAGACTATTTCCGTAGACTCCTATTATTTTTATTTATTTTCCGATCAACAGGTATTATATCTAAATTAAGACACTATATTCCACAAGAGTTGCTTCGCACTATTTACTATGCCCTGGTCTATCCCTATCTAATCTATGCGGTCTTGACTTGGGGTACAGCTAACAAAACCACTTTAAAACCACTACAAACTATTCAAAACAAAATTGTTAAACTTATCAAATTTGCCAACTGGAGGGATCATGCAACCCCTTACTTTTATGAATTGCAACTGCTTAAACAAATCGACATTTATAATTTAGAGCTAGGTAAATTTATGTTTAAATTCAATGCAGGTATTCTCCCTGAATTATTCTGTAATTATTTTAGAAGAATTTCAGACTCTCATCATTACCAGACAAGAGCAGCAACTAACAATTTATACTTTACTCCTAGAGTATCAACAAATACTGGTTTTAAATCCATTAAATCGGCTGGTGTTAAACTTTGGAACGCCTTATCTGAAATTAACAAATCACGTACTATTAAACAGTTCAGCTATAAATATAAATTCAACATGCTACAACAGTATATCTCTTTATGACGAACATATCTGGGTCGGGATTAACTAGTTCTCTATGTTTATCATGATGTCATTTCTAGTTATTTTACGCGATTGTTGTAACACTCTGGCATGTAATTGCTATTTTTCAAATATTACTTCTACAAGATATTTATTTCTTTCTTCTAAATGCATGTTTAAATGCAGAACTATTTCCTAGACTATTTTTCATCTAGTAATATATGCTAATGAAGTTACACTTTTTTACATAGCATTTAGTTGAGTGTGGTAATGATTTGACAAAATGTATTGCTCGCAATCTGAACTTGTTAGCTTGTTGTTGTTTTTTGATCTGTAAATTGCTAGCTTTCCTATAAATTGTTATATACATTCATTGTTATATATATTTAGGATTTCTTCAATTTTTCTATTGTTTATATTTAAATATGGTTTTGCACTGAATGCTGCTTTACATTTATATGTATTGTTTGTCAGTTTTGTTTTGTTTTTTTACTCAATTGTTACAGTTAATATCAGGTTTCATTTGTCAAGTCAAATGTATGTTATTATAGATGTTGCGTATGGCTAAATGTTATAATTGCAATTTTGTTCAAATGCCTTTTTCATAAAACTTCCGAGTTAATCCTTAAAGCCTCGGTCACAACGAGCCCACGACGCATTTGTGCCACGACACGACAGAAAATGTGGGCAAATCGTAGGTCATCGGGGGTCGTCGCAAGACAGTCCTGCAAAATTTTGAGCATCGTGGCACCGACTTGCCGTCGTGAGGCAAAATTAAACATGCACCTTTTTTGTTCCACGATTTTTTGTGGTATCTATGTCTTCTGGTTGTCGTGAGACTGTTCTACGAGAGTCTTGCGACTGTCGTGCGATAATACGTCGTTATATAGTCGGGAGACGGACGCGCGAGCGTCCCACGAGTGACCCGAGTGACCCACGACTGTTGTGCGACAGTCGCACGACTGTAGCACGCGCATCCCACGAGTGAACCACGACCTGTTTACGTGAAAAACAACCCCCGACAATGCCCGACAACTCACGACTGTCTCACGACTGACTTGCGACACACCCACGACATATCTTTTTTTTCTGTCGCGTCCCCATCGCCAAACCATCTTTAATGTGTCGTAGCCATTGTGACCACTCGAAATACATTTCGGGCATGTTGCAAGATCTGGCCACGACAAATATTTTATGGGTCTACCACGATAAAATTTCGTACGATCTGTTGTGACCCGGGCGTAACTACCAAGCGACATGCAGCGACCAAAAAACACTGACATATATAGGGGTCCTGGGCACGTCCAGAAATTCAACGCGTGTGATAGAATTGTTAAATTGCTCGGTGAGGATCTATTCGTCAATCGATCTTTTCGATGATGACCGGGTAATTTGCATGTAGTTTATTTATTATTTATTTATTTTTTATAACAACGCTCATATATATTTTTGTATTATCCGATCGTATTGTCATTCATGGTTCAAGTCTTGAATCATCTTGTAACTAACTGTAGTTAGTGGAGTGGCTGACTTGAAGACTGTATATAGTCAATTCGTCCTCCCTCGCTGTATTTATTTAAAAAAACTTGTTGTGATATAACAATGTAATATAGCCTACTTGAAAGAATAAATAAATTTCAAAATCTAAAATCTAAATCTATTCTAATCTGCCTGCAGTGACACTATCGTGCATATATTTCAATAGTATCATAGTCATATTGATATTGTCATCCTAGCATTTTGTTCACCGTGAAAATGACGTGTCTTCTGTACATGGATTTGTATCTGAATTACATGCAATAATTTAATAATAATAATAATAATAACTAAAGCAGAAAAAGCAACCAGTGTGCTTACTTTTATAAATTAGAATGTGTAGGTAAGATGTATGAATTTAAGGTGTAATGTGAAGTTTAATATATGGCGCGTCACTCATTGTAGCAAAACAACACTTGATTGATAATAATTGTTGATTGTAAAAATGTTCATTTAGCAATCCTACTGCATCATTCTCAGTAGAGCAATGCATATTACCTTGATGTAATCGATTCGTTGATATCCTCAAGGTCACCAGGCTCATGTGGACCGCAATACAAAATATACATTATGCAGGTCCCAAATATATATCAGGAGCTAATAATGACAAATTTGTCATTATTAGCTTTTAATTTTGTCATCATTAAATTTTTTATATTTGATTATAATCATCATTATTTAATTTTGTCATTATTAAATTTGTCATTATTAGCTCCTGATATATATATATATATATATATATATATTTATATATATATACTATATATATATATATACATATATATAATATATCTATATTATATATA